GCCCCCCCCCCCCCCCCCCGCTGCCCCGTGAGGCTCCCAGCAGGCACAGCGGATAAGGATTCCACACATGGAAGCAGCACGTTGCCATTGTGTATGGCGTGCTCGGCACAGCCCGTGAGCAGAGGCCTGAGAAAGCCGTGGCCACCAGGATCGGGGGGCTTGGGAAGGTGGGGTGGTGGGTGCAGAGGCTGACGGGGTTGCCGGTGTGTCCACGGGACAGTGCTGAGGCTGGTGCGGAGGCCAGAGGGTGCAGAGCCAGGAAGGCCGCCAGCCGGCCAGGTGAGGGCCTTGCAGGCTGCTCAGGGTCTGGCTCTTCCTGGTTAGAGGTCTGTGTTAGTGTGGGTGTCGGAGGGGTCACTGGACCTCCTTGGTGCTGGGAACAGACTCAGAGGGCCAGCTGTTGGGAAGCTTGCCGCCCTGGGGGAGAGGCGGGTGCCTGGCAGGTCCTGGGGGGCCCGAAGGGAGGGCGGGCAGGCGTGTGCCGCCCGCTCCGCTTCCGCACAGGACAGGCCGAGTGGGGCCCGCCTGGGACCTGGCTCCCCTGCCTGCCCCCGCCCCCTGGGGCCCAGTGTCCTTGGCCTCCTCCTCACTGTGGGACCATAAAGCTGGAGTTCACCGGTTCCTCAAGAGCAGAGGGCTCACTCCCAGAGACTCTGAGCGAGGGGGTTCTGGTAAGTTCACAGTTGGAATCCCTCACAAACTCACCACTTTTTTCTTTCTAAAGTAAAGCAACCAACAGTCTGTAGCTGTCCACCTGCTTCCATCCCCGGTGGTGACCCCTCGGGGCAGTCTGGTGTGTGTCCTGCCTTGCTTCGCCCAAGTGTCAACAGACACGCTCACCAACACACACATAGACTCTGTCCCTCCTCTCCAGAAACGGAACAATGTGCTAAATGCTAGTGAAACAAACAAACAAACTTGTTTTTCACTGGCGGGGGTGGGGGGGGTGGGGAAAGGCACCTGGGGTTGATTTGCATTTCCCTACTCACGACGTCATGCCCTTCAGAGAGTTTATCGTCTGCTTGTATTTTTCCGTTTGTGAAATTTCTTTTCTCTTTTTCTTTTCTTTTTTTTCTTTTTGGCTGCGCCACGCAGCTTGTGGGATCTTGGTTCCCTGACCAGGGATCGAACCCAGGCCCTCCGCACTGGAGGCACGGAGTCCTGACCACTGGACCGCCAGGGAAGTCCCATCCTTTGTAGAATTTCTGTTCACTTCCTTCTTCGTTTTCCTCTCAGGTGGTTTTTTTTTTGAATTGAAGTATAGTTGATTTATATTATTGTGTTAGTTCCAGGTGTGCAGCAAAGTGATTCACTGTTATATATATATTTTTTCAGGTTATTTTCCATTACAGGTTATTACAAGATACTGAATATAGTTCCCTGTGCTATAGTAAATCCTTACTGCTTGTCGATTTTTTTTTTTTCTTAAATTTATTTTTGGCTGCGTTGTGTCTTCATTGCTGCATGCGGGCTTTTCTCTAGTTGCGGTGAGCGGGGGCCACTCATCGCCGCGGTGCGCAGGCCTCTCATTGCGTTGGCCTCTCTCGTTGCAGAGCCCGGGCTCCAGGCGTGCAGGCTTCAGTAGTTGTGGCTCGCGGGCTCTAGAGCACAGACCCGGCAGCCATGGCGCATGGGCTTAGTTACTCTGCGGCATGTAGGATCCTCCCAGACCAGGGCTCAAACCTGCGTTCCCTGAATTGGCAGGCAGGCTCTCAACCACTGTACCACCAGGGAAGCCCTGCTTATCGATTTTATGAATAGCAGTTTGTATCTGTTAATCCCATACTCCTAATTTCCCTTTGGTAACCATAAGTTGGTTTTTTTTTTTCTGTGTCTGTGAATCTTTTCTGTTTTGTAAATGGGTTCAGTTGTATTATTTTTTAGATTCCACATATAAGTGTTAACATAATATTTGTCTTTCTCTGACTTTACTTCACATATGATAATCTCTGGGTCCACCCATGTTGCTGCAAATGGCATTATTTCATTCTTTTTTATGGCTGAGTAGTATTCGTGTGTGTGTGTGTGTGTGTGTGTGTGTGTGTGTGTACACACCGCATCTTCTTTATCCATTCCTCTGTTGATGGACATTCAGGTTGTTTCCGTGTTATGGCTATTGTGAATAGTGCTGCTGTGACCATTGGGTGCGTGTATCTTTTCTAATTAGAGTTTTCTCTGGATATATGCCCATGGGTGGGATTGCTGGATCATATGGCAACTCTAATTTTAGTTTTTGAGGAATCTCCACACTGTTCTCCATAGTGGCTGCACCAACTTACATTCCCACTAACGGTGTAGGAGGGTTCCCTTCTCTCCACACCCTCTGCGGCATTTACTGCTTGTAGACTTTTTGATGGTGGCCATTCTGACCGGTATGAGGTGATATCTCACTGTAGTTGTGATCTGCATTTCTCTGATAATTAGCAATGTTGAGCATCTTTTCATGTGCCTCTTAGCCATCTGTGTCTCTTTTGGAGCAATGTCTGTTTAGGTCTTCTGCCCATTTTTTTGATTGAGGTGTTTGTTTTTTCACTATTGAGTTTTATGAGCTGTTTGTATATTTTGGATGTTAAACCCTTGTCAACTGTATTGTTTGCAAATATTTTCTCCCATTTTGGGTGGTTCTTTTTAAGGATCAGTAGTAATAACACTTTGCTTATGAGCTGTAATGGCTATAGATGTGTGTGTTACAGATATTTTTTCTAAGCCTGCCATTTCTGACTTTTAACTTGGTTTATGTTTATTTGTAGCACAGAAGTTGAAATTTATGTGTGTATTGCCCAGAAATTTAAGAAACGCTTACTTTTCCGAAGAATGCAGTTGAAACCGTGTGCTTTGGGCTGGATTGGGGTGGGTTTGGGTGTGTTCTGACTGGCGGTTGGGGACCGTGATGAGCGTGAGTGTTGCACCAGCGCCTGTAACATGGGGCTGCCAGCGGGCTGTGCTGGCCGCGGGGCTCGAGGCTGAGGTTCTTCCTTTCTGAGCATTGTTCGCTGTAGATGAGAGTCCTTCCCCTGCTTACGTTAAGGGGTCATGTTTGAATCCGCTCTCATTTTACTGGCTACTCACTCATTCAGCTCCTCTCTGTTGAGTGCGTCCTGCCTTGGCCCCGGGAGCAGGGGAGCGGCCCTTCCTGATGGTGGCGGCTGCGCTGTAGGGTGGGTGGGGACACCCCCGCGTCCCAGTGATGTCTGCTCTAGTCGCACCCTGGCCTTACGCACCCCTGCTGACCGGGCACAGCGCCGGGCACCTGCCCTGGACAGATGGTTTTTGTTACAGAGGGCGCTTGTGTGTCTCCTGTGCAGGCAACTGGGGCCCTCATCTTGTCGTCGTGAGGGGCTGTAACATCCTCAGGTGGGAGCTTGAACTGAAGCGCTGGTGTCCGGGGCTCAAGACGCTCCTGTATGTCGGCAGCCGCAGAGAGCTCAAGGCAAAGAGACAGGTACGTTAGCTGAAACTTGAGATGGAGCTAAACAGGAAACATCTGAATTTCTATGGAAGACACACTTCAGAGTGTCAGCGCATGCTCGTTAGTGTAATTACTGTCAGTCACTCGTTTGTGAGATACGAGACCTTCTAGTTGTCTGGGCTTAGAGCCCCCTTGAAGCGTAGACTACACTCAGGAAACCGGCCATTCCATGCAGGGCTTGTGTTCACCTCCCAGGAAGTGAGGGAGCTTCCCCCCCAGAGCTCGGATGGTCTCTGGAGGTGCTGTCCTCCTTTTAAACTGTAGACCGGTTGGTTATCACAGGTAGAAATAAGAAATTGTGATGCATCCTGAGTTCTGAATTACAGATCCGTAAAATAATTCCCACGGATGTGTTTATTAGGAATATTTGTGACAAGCAGATGAGCTTCTGAAACGAATTTGGACTCTTATTTTTCTATTTTCTGCCCAGTAGTTTCTAGTACTAGATTCTAAGTAAAAGTATGTTACAGATCACAATTTTTCATTGGAGAGAAAATTTTCGCTTATGGTTAGACTCTACTGTGTTGAGTAATATTTACTTAAAAAGCGAGCACTTTGAGGGGTCTTTTCTTTTTTCCTTTTTTTTTTTTTTTTTTTTAACTCTGGTAATTAATTTGCTTTTTAATAGCTTGGAATGTAGTCAGCTGCAACACAGATATACTCACATTTCCTATCATCTTCTGAATACGTGTTCCGTCACTAAGATGATATACTATGGAAGCGAGCCCCACTTCTGGATGCTGTGTGCTGATCTGTTTTCCAAAAGCGATTGTTAATGCCTCCAAAGCAGTTTCTTAATTTGTCCACACAAGTGCTTAGCCTCCTAAAGAAAAAGATCATAAAAACATAAACAGCTGTTTTCTGTGTGATGACAGAGCAGGTTACCAAGGAAAAGGAGGGGTGATGGCGGTGGGGCAGGTTAGGTGGGTAGTGAGCGTGCACGAAAGTCCTCTCCAGGCCGATTGTTCCTGCGGAGACAGTGAGGCCTGGCTTCTGTGCTGCAGGGGTGGACAGAGCCCAACCGTATCAACGTCTGTATCACGTCCTACAAGCAGTTCTTCAAGGGCTACGCGTCCTTCACGCGGGTGCGCTGGAAGTGCCTGGTCATCGACGAGATGCAGCGTGTGAAGGGCATGACTGAGAGGCACTGGGAGGCCGTGTTCACCCTGCAGAGGTCTGGCCACCCCTCTCCGCATGCCGTGTGCTGGGTATTGTTGATGTAAAGGTTCTTTGGAGGGACCATAGGAAACTGCAGGCTCCCAGAATGGCCTTTCAGCTTCAAGGGCTCCCCTCACTGAAGGCGCTCATTTAATTCAGTCCGTTCCTCAAGACGTGTGTGTGTGTGTGTGTGTGTGTATGTCTGTGTCTGTGTGTGTGCGCGTGTCTGTGTGTGTGTGTCGGTGTCTGTGTGCATGTGTGTGTCTGTGTCTCTGTGTGTCTGTCTTCGTGTGTGTGTCTGTGTGTGTGCGTGTCTGTGTGTGTCTGTGTCTGTGTGTGTGTGTGTGTGTGTGTGTGTGTGTGTGTTAGCTCCCGAGGATCGTTGTCCCTTTCCTTGAATGTCTCCCGAGACAGGCTCTGCGCCCAGCTTGACGTTTCAGGTGTCATCTCCCGTTGTGTGTTCAGCCAGCAGCGACTGCTGCTCATTGATGCCCCGCTGCACAACACCTTCCTGGAGCTGTGGACCATGGTGCACTTCCTCATCCCGGGCATCTCCAGGCCGTACCTGCACTTGCCCCTGAAAGCCCCCAGCGAGGAGAACCAGGACTACTACCACAAAGTGGTCATCCGGCTGCACCGGGTATGCGGCTCTGCCGCTGCGGGTCCCTGCTTGACGAGCACCCCCAGCTTAGCACGCATGGGCCACGACTTCATTTTAGCAAAGGAGAACTTTCTTTTTTCAGGTGACACAGCCCTTTATTCTGCGGAGAACTAAGAGAGACGTGGAGAAGCAGCTGACGAAGAAATACGAGCACGTCCTGAAGTGCCGCCTCTCCAGCCGACAGAAGGCCTTGTACGAGGACGTCATCCTGCAGCCGGGGTGAGTTCAGGGCTGCACACTCCTGGCCACCTTGCTGGGGAAGAGTGGGCCCCTCTGGCCTTCCAGAAGGCTCCTCCTCGGCGGTGGGCCTCTGCAGCTGGAGGCCATGCTTGCGCCCGGCCCTGGCGGCTCCGCTCCTCTCAGGCTGGCAGGCTGCCCCTCCCTGGTCCCATCAGAGGCCGTGCCCAGAGCCGGCCCAGGAGGAGCACAGCGTCGCAAGCCACTCGGTGCTGCCCTGCACTGGAGGTTCACGCAGGAGGCCGTGCTGATTGGGTGGCTCGTCCGTTCACAGCCGCGTGTAGGATGTGAGACCGAGGCCCGCGTGCCGTGTGGTCAGGCGCAGGTGGCACTCCAGGGCCACACCGGGTGGCCACAGGCACCTCTGTATGGACCCTAGAAGGGTGGAGCCCCGTCCTGTCCATGATCCTTCCCGTGACCCGTTTGGCTCTTTTTGTCATTGGTCGTGAGCATTGTGTGCTTAAGTGCGTAACGTGGTCCGAATAGCGTCCACGGCAGCAAGTGTGCAGGAGAGGGTTTTGCTGTTAATGCCTGCTTGTGGCATAGGCTTCTTTTTAGACAGCTTTAGGACGGAGTGTAAGTAGCCAGTCCTTGGCAACCAGCGTCGTGCTGCGGCAGGCCGTTGACCATCTCAGTCAGGCATGGGAGCTGTGGAGACCCCACCCCTGACAACACGTGCAGTGACAGATCCTGCTTCCTGGACACTGCGGGAGCAGACAGCCCGCGGCACGGCTGGCGCCTGCTGGCGGTCAGCTATCTCAGCCCGTGCTGATCTGGAGAGAATCGCAGCGTGCGCAGAGGGCGGGTCCTGGGCCAGCAGGCGCGGGCTTGTGTGGCCAGGGCATCCCATCACCCAGACAGACAGAGCCCCGGCGTCCTCGGGACGCCTGCTGTGTCGCTCTTTGGTGGCGTGCCGTGGGACGTCGCTAGGGTTGCGCTTGGCAGTGACGACCTCGGTCCCGCTTGTTGAGTGTGGGATGCTCTCTGTGTGCTCGTAGGAGAGGCCCCTGCATCCGGGAGCCACTGGGCCAGCAGAGCCTAGGTTGTCCTGTGCCACAAGGTCCCATGGAGCGGTGGGGAGATTCCTCTTTCTCTTTCTCTCGGGCCTGTTGGTCAAGTCAAGGGGGGCCGTGAGCAGGCCTGCGCTGACCCCACGGCGGCTCCTGGGCGTGCCCTGCACGCCTCGGTGCGTGTTGACGCGATGGTCTCAGGGTCCTCGGGTGGGCTCTGAACATCGCTCCCGGTCAGCGCCTTCCTGCCCTCTGCGTGGCGACCGTGTCACACGTTTCTACCGCCTTCCCGGAGAGCCCTGTGAACCCGCCTCTGGTGGCACCACCTCCTCCTGGTTTCTGTTACAGTCCTTCCGGTGGGCTGTGAGCTCAGCCCCTCAGGAGCCTCCATTTGCCGTTTTCTTGGTCTCTCGTGTTCTCTCTCCTGTCTCATCCAGACACGTATCGCTGGTCTCTGAACGGCCGCCCTCCCCTCTCCCCTTCTGCTCTCTGGCACCGCCTGTGCGCCGTCCACGTCCCCGACGCCACCCCGCTCTACGTAGCGCTGCGCCCACGCGCTCCGTCCTGGTGGGAGCTGCCTGGGCCGCCGGGCTGACCGCGTCCTCCTGTGGCAGCTTGAGCTGTCCCCAGGCACCGCATATCCCATGTGTGCGGGACTGGCTTCCCCAGGCGTGCCTCTCTGCTAGGCTTGCCTGACTCAGGACGCTGTGCTCCACTGTTCGGGCCGTCCTCCCGTCCCCCCGTCCCCTCTGCTCCCCCTCTGCTCGCGAGTCCCTGCCCACCCCGCTGCAAGGCTCCTTTCTGCCTCGCCCGCTGGGCGCGCTGTGCTCTGCGGCCGCCCTTGGGGGTCCCCAGCCTGGAGGTCTCAGCTGGCCTCTATGCAGCCCCTGCATCGTGGCCCCCGTGGCGCCGGCGCGGTGTCAGGCCTGTGTGTCTCCTCCTTCGCCGGACCACCCTGTCCAGTCGCCCCTCGAGGGCCTTCTCCCCCAGGCTGGGTGTTCTCACCCCGCCCCTGCCTGCCGGCGCGCGTCGTGGCTGCCGTGGAGAATGGCGTCGTCCCTGCCGCGGGAGGTGAGGAGGGCTGTTCGCATCTGCCGCGCGTCCTGGCTCTCCGGCCGCCCATCCTGTGTCACGGGGGTGGTGAGCGAGTCTGAGAACCCTCACCACACGGAGGTGGGTCCGGATGTCGTTGCCGTGTGAGCCAGGTCTGGGGAGAGCGCGCCGACTGCGTGTCTGTGGAGCCCGGCCGGCACGTGCTCGCAGCCAAGGCAGTGCTTGTGTCTCTCCCCACGCACAGGACGCAGGAAGCTCTGAAGAGCGGGCGCTTTGTGGACGTGCTGAGCATCCTCCTGCGGCTGCAGCGGATCTGCAACCACCCCGGGCTGGTGGCGCCCCGGCTCCCGGAGTCCTCCTACACGGCGGGGCCGCTGCAGTGCCGCTCGGCCTCGCTCATCCTGAAGGCGCTTGACCGAGACTTCTGGAAGGTACGCAGAGGATGCGGGCGGCTCTTCCTGAGGTCTGTTCCGGGTCCTTCCGGAACGTCGGTCTCCACTAACTTGCATCCTGCGTTCCCGCCATCGCCTGATGCTGGGCAGCATTGAGTGGCGGCGTGATGGGCCTTCCCCTCGACCTAGAACCCGCGTCGGAATGGGCCCCGAGGGGTGAGCCCACAGTGTGAAGGAGCAGGGAGGGTCTTCCTCGCCTGGCCGTCGGCCCCTGGGAAACAGCAGGGCGTGCAGAGGAGAGCAGGGCTCGGAACTGCGGGACCGCGGGGCTGTCCGCGCGCGTGCGGCCTGAGGCCTGCGGGGGCCTTTCTGGTAAAGTGATAGTACCTGTCCCCAGGTGGGGAAACTCGGTTATCTTTTGACCAAAAAAGTAGAGTCGTATACCTTTCTGTGTTTGAATTTTGGGGTAGTTTTGGAAAGTTTTTCCAAAACCAAGATTTTTAAAACAAAAGAGATTGGGTTAGGTTGGGTGATTCTGAGCACAAGTGTGCTGAGCTTCTGGCTCTCAGCAGGGCAGGGCCAAGCCCTCAGGGGCCGTCGTTCCTGCTCTGGCTTCCACGCAGGAGGCCGAGAGCTTGCCCAGACCAGCCGGCCGCTGGCAGGCTGGTGCCTGAGTTCCCCTTGGCTGTCTCTACCCCAGAGGACCAGGGACCGAGGTCTCACAAATGCGGAGAAACAGGAACCAGCTCTGTGGCTTCGATAGGCTTGTGCAGGTTCGGGGTGTGGACAGGACAGGGACCCTGGGGCCAGATTGCAGGGGCTCACGTCCCGGCTCTGCCCCATGAGGAGTGTGGCCTTGGGTGGTCAGTCTGCCTCGGTTTCCTCACCACACCGGGAAGTTGTGAGGAATCGGTCAGTTAATGTACGTGATGGTCTGAGGAAGGGTCTGATTGGTAAGCAGGGTGTGGTGAGTTACGTGATGAATGTGATTCCTACCACTACGCCTACTACTCTTTTATTGGAGTGTAGTTGATTTATAGTATTACTTTCAGGTAGGGATGAGTTTTTCGTTGAGTTAAAGAAAAATTGAGCCATGGGGGATAAAGATGCGTCAGAAGCAGGCTACCTCAAGATACCGCTGGGGCCGGGAGATGTTTCGTGGATGGTAGTTTTTATGTTGTGTTTTCATTTTAAAAAGTTTTATTGAGGTAGCTCATTATCGTAAAACTCACTGTTCTGAAGCGTACAGTTTGTTGGTTTGAGTATATTCACAGAGTTGTGCAACCATCACCACTAATGCTAGAACATTTCATTACCCCAAAGAGAAAATCCACACGCACTGTCATTCCCATTCCCCCTCCCCTTCCCAGCCCTGGCGGCCACTTACCTGCATCTGTCTCTGTGGATTCACCAGGTCCAGATATTTTGTACCAATGGCTCACTTCACTTGAGCATAATATTTTCAGAGTTCATCCACGTTGCAGCCTGTGTCAGAATCTCCTTCCTCCATTGTCTGGGTGGACCGCAGTATGTTCATCCGTCCACGAGCTGATGGGCACTTGGGTGGTTTCCACTTTTTGGCCACTGTGAGTGCACATTCATGTGCAAGTTTTGCGTGGGCGTGGGGCTCCCCTCGGGCACATGTCTGACGGGCGAGGAGTTGCAGGGTCACGTGTAGAGTCCATGTTTATTAACCTTTTGATCAGCTGCCTTGCATGGTGGCTGCCAGGTTTCCCATCCCCAGCAGGGGGTGAGGGGGTGGGGGCATTCACGTCTCCACATCCTTGCCCACACCTGCTGTCCATCCTCTTTGATTCCTGCCATCCTGGTGGGAGTGAGAACGTCCGAGAGAAGCACAGGTGGAGTGAACGTCCCCAGGGCTCCAGACATAGCGACGTGCCACACGCCCGCTGCACCTGCACCAGCATGCTACGGTCTCTCCCTCAGCCTCCCCAACGAGGCCGAGCATCTCCATCCATTTAGACGAGCATTTTCCAGGCTCATCCCTCTCTGCTGAGTCTAGTGTGTCTCTCAAGTGCCACCCTCTCCTTTCCCACTGCCACTCGGGATGGCCACGTACCATCACTCCCACCTTTCTTTAAGTTGGGGAACTGAGCACACCGAGGTCCGGCGGGTGCTTCTCAGCAAGACGGCTGCTTGGGGCCTGGCCTTCCTGGTTTGGAATCGACTTGGATTCCTAGTCAGCTGTTTCGTTCCTGCCTCCTGTAGCAAAATTGTTTTCTTTTTCTCCTTAGGAAACCGACCTTTCTATATTTGACCTTATTGGCTTAGAAAATAAAATGACCCGTCACGAGTCAGAACTGCTGGGCAAGAAGAAGGTGACACGGAGGCTCTTCGAGGAGCTGTTCACCGCGCCGCCGCCGTCGGGCAGGCCAGCGGCTATCAGACTGAAGCCCAGCAGGTGTGTGGTGTGGTGTGGTGTGGTGTGGTGTGGTGTGGAGCATCACTTCCTGCTCACCAGCCGGCTCTGGCTGGGTCCTGGCTGGTTGTGTGTCGTGGGGTCTGGGTAGCATCCCCTCTTCTGCTGCTGAAAGGGACCCCGGCCCCGCAGCCTCTCGGGCAGACCTGGGACCACCGGGTTGGAGCTCCACATGAGAACTGGGGCTACAGCCTGTGAAAAGAAAGGCTAATCATCTAATTTGGCTATCTGCTTCTCCTGGAAATTGCCCAGATGTCCTTGGATCCTGGGATAAACAGCAGGGGTGTGCAGGGCGCAGGAGAGGCTCTTTTCATCACCTTGAAGAAGCATCGGGCTTTGGGAGGGCTCTGTGTGTGGAGGTGGTCAGGGACGGGGTGGTCAGGCTGCCTCTGACCTGGTGCGGGTATGGTGGCAGCCGTCAGGGCAGGGGGGCACTGTCGGGGGGCGGGGTTGGGACCCTGGGGTCTGGCAGAGGCTCCACCCCTGACTGCAGCATCGAGGGCCTCCAGGGACATGATGCAGGTGCCACGAGACTGGGAGGAGCGGTGCGTGCAGATGGATGAACTCGGAACACGTGATTCAAGACAGGCCACACCCGTGCAGCCGGATTTGTGCACAACTCTGTGCTCCCGCTAAAATCAAAGAAAAAGCAGACAGGTGTTTTCGAGAGAAACGGGCCAGCTCTGCAGACGGCGGCCCATTTCTGTTGCCTTTTCTCCGTGTGACCTCCCCGGTGACTTGGATCCGACCACCCTTGCCTCAGCTGCCTGGCCCACACACACAGGAGCCTGCAGCCCTCAGTTAAACACGTGGCCAGGGCAACGAAGCCGCAGTCCTCCTGGGGCTGGCCTGGCCTCGTTTAGTGGCTTTCTGCTGGCTGTGCATTGCACAGGGGTTTTGATATAGAAGTCCTGCCATCATGGTTTTCCAGGTTAAAGAAATAGGAGGAGCATGTTGCTTGTGATAAAATCGGACAGAGCAGCCATGGTGTGGATCCCCCTTCACAGCTTTACCCGCTGGCGCCTGTGGGGCCTTTACCATTTCTGCTGTTTCTCTCCATTTCCTGTACTGCCTTGTCACCTAGTTGTGCAAGTTGACTTTTCACCCCACTTTACTCTTATTCAGAAGAGTAGTAGAATGGACTTTATGTGTTAGATGCAGTTTCTCTAGTCCACGTTCACGGGAACTTAATCACATTCACCCCTGCGTCACCCAAGCGTTGGGGTAGATGTACCATTTTTAGGTACTAAGCATCTCGCTCAGGGTCCCTGGTGAGCGCTGCTTCTTAGCACAGCATTTAGCAATCCCCCCGCCCCTCTTCAAGCTGCACGCAGGCTGTGGGAGCCCCACTGCCCGCAGGGCAGCCCTGTATCCCCGGGGCCCATCTGGGAGGCCACGCCTGCCGCGTCTCAGCAGCGCTCGTGTCTTCCTGCCCACGCTCGGGCGTCCAGGTTGTTTCAGCCCGTGCAGTACGGCCAGAAGCCCGAGGGCCGCACCGTGGCTTTCCCCAGCACACACCCGCCCCGCACGGCCACGCCCACAGCCACTGCCACGCCGCAGGGCCACGTTCGAGGACGGCCGCCCGTCGCCACGTTCTCTGCAAATCCAGATGCAAAAGGTACGCGTCTCGTGGGGGCGCGCTCGGCAGCACGGAGGGCTTCTGTGGAAGAAGTTCTGCGCGCTTCCCTGGCCCGCGGGGCGGTGGCCGCTGCTCTGCGCGAGTGGGCAGTGGGGCCACGTGCCCTGGCTCTGCCGGGGGACCGCGTGTAGTTCTCACGTGAGTTTTACGCTTTTTTTACGTCTTTGAACTGTATACGGCGTCCCATCCTTAGTCGAGTTACTGTCGATGTGGTGGGGAAGATGTACCTTGGCGGAAACGCTCTCTTTTATGTCGGGAAACACATGTCGAAGTCGTTTATGAAGCTTCTGAGGACGCGCCTGCTGTTGTGCTCTGTGCCACCGCGTCAGTGCGAGCTGCTCGTTACTTGAAGAAGGGCAGGGCTAGGTGGCAGGAAAGCTGGTAGGAGTTGTCTTCTAACCCCGGTCCGCGGCGCCCTCCGTGCCAGGTCCCCCTTGTTTTTCTGAGATCTTCGTAAATGCCAGAGCTGCTTGTCGCAAGAGCTCTTCGTGCAGCTGGGGACGCCAGCGCTGCCTGACCTCCGTGCGTGGTTAAGATGTGGTTCTCACCGACACACCCGAAGGGGCCGGCTTGTGACACTCCCGTGTACTCCAGAAATGCACCGTGTCATGGACTGGTGGACTCGAAGCGAAAATATCAATAGTTAACGATGGATAAAAAATTAGATTTCTCTCATCCTGTAGACCCCCCCCCCACACTTTTTAGAGAGGGCGTCTCCTTTGAGAGGCAGTATGAAGTAATGTTTGTTTTATTTCTTTAAAATTCGGGTTTAATACTGCATTTTCTGAAGAACCTCTAACAGCTTTGCACAAACCAACCTTATCGATTGCAGCGCCAGCAACCCCGTTTCAGACCTCTCAGCCCTCCACCGGTGCTCCGAGACACCAGCCTGCCTCGACCTTCAGCACAGCACCTAGCCCAGCCCATCCTGTGAAACTGCGGGCTCAAACCACTGCCCCGGCCTCCACCCCGGGCCCGCCCCAGCCCCAGCCCCAGGCCCCCTCGCACCCGGCCGGGCAGAGCGCGCTGCCTCAGGGGCTGGTGCTCACCTCGCAGGCCCAGGCGCGCCTGCCTAGTAAGTGGCTTCGCCTCTCCTGGGTCTGCCACCTCTTTGTACAAGGACATTGCGTTCACACGAGCGGCGTGTGAAGGGCCTTGCTGTCCTCTCCCTTTGTCTCCCCGACTCCGTGTCCGGTGCTGCCTTTCACCACGCTGTCCTTTCCAGCCCTAAATCTGCAGAGGGAGGGCTCCGCTCAGGGCCAGAGTCCAGGGTCTTGTCCTTTCTCTGTCCTTCCTTCTGACCCCATCCGTCAGCTTTGCTCCTCTCCTGTGCTCGTGCTCTGCCTTGGTGGCCGAGGATGGCACTTCTCCTTAGTGAACCACGGGTTTGTCCCGTCAGCCTCCAGGGCCCCTCGGAGAGCAAAGGGCAATAAAACGAAAGCCTTGTGAGCTAGGGTTCGACTTCCTTTTAGTCTCTTGCTTATTTTACCAAATTTAAATCGGGAATGACTGTTGCTCAAGTGAGACATTTTGTGATAACTCACTGAAACATCGCAACCTTCTTACATTTTTTAAATAGAACTTTTTATTGTGACCAGCACGATTAGGGTACTCCTCTGTCCATCCTGCTGTTGGAAGTACCCTGATGGAAACTGTCCTGGGCTATGCCATTTCTCAGATGCCACCTGGAACACTTATATCTGTTGGCACAAGTTGTGTTGAGGCCTTTCTGGAGGGACAGGAGAGAGAGAGAAGTTGTGTCATGAGGAGACACCGGGTTCAGGCTAGTTTTCTCTTGTGATGAGCCTGTCTTCCGTGCCAGCAAATGCAGAGCACTTATCCTGGCTCATTGCCCAGGGCAGGAGAGCCCTTGCATACATTTCGGTCTTTCTTCTCTTTTGCCAGGGGTAGGAGTCCCGGGGGTGTACCCAGGAGCCGCTCTGGGGGGCTCAGGGTCAGGCCGCCTTTCGTGCCTCCACCTCTGGACTGAGGAGGGCTTGTGGGAGAGTCGTCGTTCTGTGCATGGATCTCTGCGTCTCTTTTCCCCTTTTTCCTTCCCGTTTATGGTCCCTGTGGCCAAGATACCCTCGGATGTTTTCCTGGTCTTTTGCTAACTATCCTTTTTATAGCATCACTACTAATTCTGGCCTGAATTTTCATGGGAGGAACATCTAGACTCGAATATCAACCATTGGGTTTAAAACAAAAAAAAGCCTTTAAAGCTATTATTCAATTACAGTTTGAAGGTGGTACCTTTTTGAGTGAGGTGCGTATGACTCCATCTGAGTTCTGCTTTTTTTTGTAAAAAAAAAAGCTTTAAGCAGTGTTAAATCTTCCATTTTTTCACAGTTAAAATTGCAGGCGGAATCCCACAATCTAGTTCAAATTAGTGTGAAACACTGTATCGTAAAGTGTGATGTATTTATGTACTTAAATACATTCCCACGTTTTGAAAAGGTTATGAGTATAATTGAAGCTAGTTCTCTATTTTATATCTGTAGTGATAAAGTCTTGTTTATCTCTGTGAGCTAAATCGGACATGTACTTTCTCACTCTCACATTCTGAAAGGATTCTGAAGTTAAGAGGTTGATATGAGAGTTGCAAAGCGTGTGACCCATACATTTCTGCTACTTCTGATGTTTGCTACTTTTTTATCGCCTGGAAAGAAAAGCAAAATGTTCCTTAAGGGCTTGGTTAATTATATTAATATCTGGTACTCTAAAATTTCTACCAGTTATGATGAAGTTAACCATTAAAATCTGGTGTTAATTTTAATTGTTTTTTCTTTTCTATTAAAATATTTTCTGAAAGTGTTAGAAATACCTAATAAATGTTTCTGTGACACTTCAGTTTGCTACAGACGGTCATTCTCTGTGACAAGTGATCGTCAGTAGAGTGATCGAAAACTCTTCCCAAGAGTTTTCTTTCTCGTCTCCTCTGCGTCTCCGCAGGTGGGGAGGTGGTCAAAATAGCCCAGCTGGCTTCCCTCGCGGGCCCGCCGAGCCGAGTCGCCCAGCCGGAGAGCCCCGTGACGCTTCAGTTCCAGGGCAACAAGTTCACCTTGTCGCATAGCCAGCTGCGGCAGCTGACAGCCGGCCAGCCCCTGCAGCTCCAAGGTAGGGTTCGCTGATGGGCGGTGGCCCACAAAAGCTTTAAGCCGGGGCGTCCCGGCAGCTCCCCCTGCAGCTGTGACCTTGGCCCCCTTAAGCATAGGTGCTTCACCTGTAAATGGCCTTAACGAGTCTCACCTCGTTGGTGTTCAGAGGACTTGGGAGATAACGGGCAAATCTCCTGGTGGCCTGGCCCTTGGCACACGTTAAATAGAGGATAGTCGTTTTTAAATAAAATCTGCCCTTTGAATAAAGTTCCCTGTTCTAAAAATCAAAATAGAAATATTTACTCCTTTCAGATTTCATTGTGAGGTAAATTGTCCTAAGAGTGCCAAAGGTCCAGCAATTTAAGTAGTAGGAGAAATTATTTTCTTTTACGTACAGATTTTAAAACTTCCAGACCAAAGCCCTCCCAAGCCTTTGGCCGAGAGCACTGTGTTCGTGTAGTAACTGCTTCTCGCAGGAAACGAGGGGATGCAGTTTAGTTCATGTTAACCCTCAGTGACTCAGCTGGAGGGTAGGACCCAGAGGGGGGATCCGGCCACCTCCCCAGGCAGCCTCCCCCGACGCGTCGTCGTTCACAGCTCTCATCAGGGCGGAAGGTTCCGTTGTCAGCCAGGTCTGGGGTGCTCTGTGTGGACCCTGGGGACACGCACCTCAGGAGAGCGGAGGCCCCCAGGAAACCCGCCGCAAAGAAACGGGTTCATTTGGTTTTATTCCATATTTCTCTGGTTTTTTGACCAAAGGGGCGAGGTCATCTCTTAAAATTTCTGGTGAACTCTAGTTTCTGTAGAGGACGATTCCAGAGCAAAAGATGCCAGGAGACTTAATCACAGAGAGGTTGAAAATGGCAGGCTCCTGGAACAGTGGCCACAGAGCCACAGCATTTGGGCTAAAAAAACGAGTGTTTTGGTATTTATTTCTTCATCCAGCTTGTCTGGTTGGCAGGCACCCAGTATGTGATCTGGGAGCTGGGACCTTCCAACCCATGACTGGCTCAAGCCTCGAGCAGACGTGACAGATGCTGAGTGGGTACTCGCTGCATTACCCGAAATCAGTCAGGCATCGCAAGGACTAGAGGAGCTTTTCTTGACATTAAGCCAAGTGACTTTGATCCTCGGCATTTTCATTCATTGTGAATGAGATAGTTTCATTTTTCTCCAAGTAACTGAACTTGGCATTCCTCATGGGAGGAAATTTGATTTTGGATTTTCGGTTGATTGCCTTGTTTCTGTACCTTAGGAAGTGGGTGTAGCCTGGGGGTCGAAGGCACACTCGGCTCGTGACTGACCCCCGTGCATGTGTGATTGCAGGCAGCGTCCTCCAGATTGTGTCCGCGCCTGGGCAGTCCTACCTGCGACCTCCAGGCCCCGTGGTGATGCAGACAGTGTCTCAGGCGGGGGCCCTGAACGCCCTGGGAAGCAAGCCCCCGGCCGGCGGCCCAAGCCCCGCGCCCATGACCCCGCCAGGTAGGGTGCTGTGAGCTGGAAGGAGACTTGGTTTTGAAACTTCTTTTCTTCCTTCCTTCCTTCCCCTTTCTTTCTTTCTTTCCTTTCTTCCTTCCTTTCTTTCCTTCTTTTCCTTCTATTTTTCTATAAATTTATTTATCTCTGTTGCAGTGCACGGGCTTCTCGTTGCAGTGGCTCCTCTTTCTGCAGAGCACGGGCTCTAGGCATGTGGGGTCAGTAGTTGTGGCTCGTGGGCTCTAGAGCGCAGGCTTAGTAGTTGTGGCACGTGGACTTAGTTGCTCCGCGGCATGTGGGATCTTCCCGGGCCAGGGCTCGAACCCATGCCCCCTGCATTGGCTGGCGGATTCTCAACCACTGCACCACCAGGGAAGTCCATGAAACTTCTTTCTGACTTTCTTTGCTTCTGAGGCAAGTGGGGAGCGCGGTTAATTTCTGTGATGCCTCAGAACCGGTAGTCCCAGTTGTGGCTGCCTCTGATTTCCATAGATGGCCCGTGTCAGCTTAGTTTCTTTTCTTTCTCTTTTGCTCCCAAAGGTAATGGTCGAACGTAACCACCCTCACTCAGCCTTTAGATGTTTGATTTGGTTTTGCTCTGACAAGAAACTTGGAATCATGAGAAATTTTGCTTGTTAATGTTACAGATACATTTAGGGAACGTGCTAGAAGTTCTTGGACAGGTAACGGAGCAGGGTTTGGACCTGGACCTGTCTGCAGCCAGTGTGCCTCCTTGCCTGTTCCGTAGCCTGCTTCCCGCCAGGGTCCCCTGCTCTCCAGACACCCACACTGCAAACATCGGGCACGGGCACTTGGGTCGGGTTGATGTATGCAAGCGGCAGGGACCTCTTCTCGAGTGGAATCCCTGGTCACTGCCCAGCCCCAGGCCCTGGGTTGTCTGTGGTGCCGTTGGGGTGGGGCCTCTGCACCCCGACCCCACTGGGCTCTGTCAGTGGGTGGGTGCTGGAGGGACCATGAGGCTGGCAGCATTGCCTGGCGGCCGCTCTGCCTCCCAGCCAGGCCATGCAGCTCTACTCGGTTGGTCTGTTCTTCAGGCTTTCTTCTGGCTTCTTGGAACCAGCTGTGCCAGCACCCTCCCCGGAGGGCGCTCAGTCCTGCCCTGTGGGCCCCAGCTTCCCGACCTGACACCAGTCCGGCCGCTGGGTTCTAGTCACCTCGACCCTTCCCTGTCGCTCCCCGCAAGTGGCCCCTTCTCAGTCCTCAGCCGCCTTTTCCGCAGGCCGTTGCGGAGGAGCCTCTGTCAGATGGGCAGTGTGGCGTGGCTGACAGGAGCAGGCCGCGTGGGGCCCAGGCATCTCTCTGTCCCGGGCACGCAGGTCAACGCTGCCGAGATGCCAAGGGCAGTGGGGCGCTGGGCCCACGTGGCTGCTGCTTGGCGCAGTGACGGGAGTGACTGCGGGTCTGAGGTCACGCCGGGCGCTGCCAAAGGAAGGAGGCAGATCGTGGCACTCAGCTCAGACCCTGGCCAGAGAGCGGGAGAGCACTTCACTGGTGGTTGTGAACGGTTGACCCACTCCAGAAACATGCTATTGAAAGCTGACAATGTTCCAGAGAGCGTTGCCGGTAGTTGTGTATGCCAAACCTTCGTTTTTGCCTTTGTAGTGGGTGTGCCCAGCCGAGTGGCAGTCAGTCCCCTGGCCGCAGGAGAACCTGGAGTGGCCTCCAAGCCAGCCTCTCCCGTCGCCGGGCCGACCCAGGTACGGGGCAGCAGACCCCAGCACACGGTGCCAGCGCCACCCCTGCATGCACGGAAGTCGTTCTCAGGAGCTGCTTGTCACTCAGGAGGGTTGTGATACTTAAACGCTTCTGCGAGGCGGCATCAATTTATCTGCTGCTAAAAACACCCTGTCTCTAAGTTAGAGAGATTTGATCTTAAAGACGCTTTTCCTACTAAAAGACATGAAACGAGGCTTTAGGATCGCAAAAACGCCCTTCCACATTTTCTCGTGTCCTACTGGCCTTCCAGGCACTAGAAACGCTCACTGTGCTCAAGAAGAACTTTACACGTTGGCAGAGAAAACGGCGCCCGTTTGCTCTGCTCTCTTTCCTGTCACTGTCTCCCTTGGAGCCAGGCCCCGCACATCTAAGCATGCTCTGCGGCTGGTCACCGTGCGTGAGGGACCCATGGGGCTTGGTGAGGCCGGGAACGGGCCGTGCTGTTTCTCAGTAACCGTTTTCATCTCTGTTTTTGATGAAGGAGGAAAAGACCAGACTTTTGAAAGAGCGGCTGGACCAGATTTACTTTGTCAACGAACGGCGCTGCTCTCGCACCCCGGTCTACGGCAGAGACCTGTTGGGGGTTTGTTCCCTGCCCAGCAGAGGGCAGTTGCCTTGGCTCGGGGCTCCTGATGGAGGTCATGGGAAGGGGGCTGGGCCCGCGAGCCGGTGCACGTCACCCTCGACAACTCACAGGGACCTGATTTTGACGCTGACTCAACGTCAGGAATCCCTCCAGGACGTCATGGACAGGTAAGGTAGCATGCTGTAAGCGTTCTTTACTCAGTCACCGTGTCACACCCAAGCAGCTTTTGTTGTTCTGTGGACGCTCATCTCATTCCTCTAAGTTTCTCCCCGGGCTGTCCCTTGGAGTCTGTCCGAAATCTGTTTCAGAGTCTTCAGCTTTGGGCCCAGATGGCCTCTCCACCCTGTGGGAGCCTGTGTGCCCCTCCCCGCCGGTCAGTTCTGTACCCCACGGGCCTGGGCCTGTGTGCAGAGCACAGCACCGTGCTCGTTCAGGGCTGGGGGCCAGACCATTGTGTTGTAGACCGCTTTCTCCATTTTGCTCTTTTAAAATAATATTTTAGGGACTTCCCTGGTGGCGCAGTGGTTAAGAATCCGCCTGCCAATGCAGGGGACGCGGGTTCGGGCCCTGGCCCTGGTGGCGCAGTGGTTAAGAATCCGCCTGCCAATGCAGGGGACGCGGGTTCGGGCCCTGGTCCGGGAAGATCCCACATGCCACGGAGCTACTGAGCCTGTGCTCTAGAGCCCGCGAGCCACAACTACTGAGCCCGCGTGCCACAACTACTGAAGCCCACGCGCCTAGAGCCCGTGCTCTGCAACAAGAGAAGCCACCGCAATGAGAAGCCTGTGCACCACAACAAAGAGTAGCCCCTGCTTGCCGCAACTAGAGAAAGCCCGCATGCAGCAACGCAGACCCAATGCAGCCAAAAAAAAAGAAAAGAAAAAAAAATTATTATTATTTTAAAATTTATTTATTTATTTATTTTTGGCTTCTCATTTATTTTGGTGTGCAGGCTTCTCAGTGCGGTGGCTTCTCTTGTTGTAGACCATGGGCTCTAGGCGTGCAGGCTTCAGTAGCTGTGGCTCGCGGGCTCTAGAGCACAGGCTCAGTAGTTGTGGCGCATGGGCTTAGTTGTGGCGCACGGGCTTAGTTGTTCCGCGGCATGTGAGATCTTCCCGGACCAGGGCTCGAACCCGTGTCCCTTAGCATTGGCAGGTGGGTTCCTAACCACCGCATCAGCAGGGAAGCCCGATAACAATATTTTATTAAGAAACCACAGGAATGATTTACCGTTGCATGATGAGAAACATGTGTTTAAGAGTCCAGTGGTTAAGATTCCACGCTTCCGCTGCAGGGGACGTGGGTTTGATCCATGGTCGGGGAAGTTTTGCATGCCGCCCAGTAAGGCCAAGAAAAGAGAGCGAGAGAGAAACAGAAGCCCAGACGCTGTTGGGGCCCACCGGCGGTATCAGCCCCTCTCCCCTGCCAGACCCGGGTCATCGTCTCTCTCTGCCCCACGTAGAGTGTCAGGCCCTGCTTGCAGCTTCATTCACTGCTTTGGCCTGATTTTTTTTTTTTTTTTTTTTTTTTTTTTCCCTTGCGTTATGCGGGCCTCTCACTGTTGTGGCCTCTCCCATTTGCGGAGCACAGGCTCCGGACGCGCAGGCCCAGCGGCCACGGCTCACGGGCCCAGCCGCTCCGCGGCCTGTGGGATCCTCCCGAAACGGGGCACGAACCCGCGTCTCCCGCATCGGCAGGCGGACTCTCAAGCACTGCGCCACCAGGGAAGCCCTTGGCCTGATTTTTAGGTTCAGCGTTGAGGGTATTTTCTCTCCCTCCTGTTTTGTTTGCCCTGGCTCAGCTTTCAGGGTGTGTCCTCTTTAGGCCTCTCAGATCAGGAACAGCAATAATGGAAACGATGGAACTGGGCGCGGCCTCCGCGAGGAGCTCTTCCCTGCTTCTCTGTGTAGGGAGGTTGCCGCCCTCCGCGCACTTGTCTTGCTTCGGATGCTGACTTGTCTGTCTTTTCTTCCTTTTCCTCTGACGTTACGGATGACTTTTTAAGACAGAGGCTGTTTGTTAGAGCAGTCGCGGGTTCACAGCAAAATCGAGGGGAAGGCGCGCAGGGTTCCCGCCTTCCCCCAGCTGCCCCCACCGTCAGCGCCCCGTGCCGGAGTAGCGCACTCGTTACAGCCCACGCGCCTCCGGTGCTTCATCATCACCGCCCAGGGTCCGCGGTGCACTGGGGGCTTTGCTTTTGGCCTTGGGTATTCTGTGGGCTCGCACAAGTGTGTAATGACACGCACCCGCCATTAGAGGATCCTACAGAGTAGTTTCACTGCCCTGAAACCCCGCTGTGCTCTGCCTATTCATCCCTCTCCCCCAGCCCCGCCCTGAAACCCTGGCAACCACTTGTCTTTTCACTGTCTCCATAGTTTTGCTTTTCCAGAATGTCAGATAGTTGGAACATAGAGTAGGCGCCTTTTCAGATGGCTTCTTTCACGTAGGAACGTGCACTTAAGGTTCCTCCTCCTTGTCTCTTCATGGCTTGATAGCTCATTTCTTTTTAGCCCTGAATAATATTCCATTGTCTGGAAGCACCACAGTTTGTTTATTTATTTATTTATTTTTTGCGGTACGCGGGCCTCTCACTGTTGCGGCCTCTCCCGTTGCGGAGCACAGGCTACGGACGCGCAGGCCCAGCGGCCATGGCTCACGGGTCCAGCCGCTCCGCGGCATGTGGGATCTTCCCCGACCGGGGCACGAACCCGCGTCCCCTGCATCGGCAGGCAGACTCTCAACCACTGCGCCACCAGGGAAAGCCCACCACAGTTTGTTTAAATACGTTCACCTACTGAAGGTTGCTTCTAAGATTTGGCAATTATGAATAAAGCTGCTATAAGCATCCATGTGTAGGTTTTTTTGTGGACATGGTTTTCAGTTCATTTGCGTGAATACCAAGGAGCATGATTACCAGATCATACGGTAAGAGAATGTTTAGTTTTGTTAGAAACTGCCAAACTGCCTTCCAAAGTGGCTGCACCATTCTGCACTCCCACCAGCGCTGATGAGAGTTCCTGTTGCTCCACATCCTCTCCAGCAATTGCTGTTGTCAGTGGTCTGGATTTTGGCTGTTTTAATAGATGTGTAGTGGTATCTCACTGTTTTAATTTGCATTTCCCTGATGGTATGTATGTTGAGTGTCTTTTCATATCCTTATTTGTCATCTGTATACCTTTGGTAACCTGTCTTTTAAGGTCTTTGGCCCATTTTTGAAACAGGTTGTTTTTTTATTGTTGCATTTTAAAGAGTTCTTTGTGTATTTTGGATAACAGTTTTTTTTTTTTTAAATAATATTTATTTATTTAGGCTGCGTTGGGTCTTCATTGCTGGGCGCGGGCTTTCTCTCGTTGCGACGAGCGGGGGCTACTCTGTTGCGGCGCACAGGCTTCTCATTGCGGTGGCTTCTCTTGTTGCAGAGCACAGGCTCTAGGCGCGTGGGCTTCAGTAGTTGTGGCACACGGGCTCAGTAGTTGTGGCTCACAGGCTCTAGAGTGCAGGCTCAGTAGTTGTGGCGCACAGGCTTAGTTGCTCTGCGGCATGTGGGATCTTCCCAGACCAAGGCTCAGGCCTGTGTACCCTGCATTGGCAGGCGGATTCTTAACCACTGTGCCACCAGGGAAGCCTTCTAGCACTATTTGTTGAAAAGACTGTCTTTGCTCCCTTGTGTTACCTTTGTTCCTTTGCCAAAGGTCAATTGACTGTAATTATGAGAATCTCTTTCTGGGCTTTCTGTTCTGTTCCATTGATCTGTTTGCTTGTTCTTTTGCCAGTACTGTGCTGTTGATCACTGTAGCTTTCTGGTAGGTCTTGAAGTCAGGTAGTGCCAGTCCTCCAACTTTTTCTTATTCAGTGTTGTGTTGGCTCTTCCGGTCAGTTGCTTCTCCGTATAAACTTTAGATTCAGTCTGTTGGTATCTACAGAATAGCTGGCTGGGATTGCATTGAGTGTCTAGATCGAGTCGGGAAGAACTGACATCTTGACAGTATTGGATCTTTCTGTCCATGAACATGGAATATTTCTCCATTTATTTAGTGCTTCTTTGATTTCATTGATCAGAGCTTTGGTCATAAGTGCTTTTGTAGTTTGCCTGCAGTTGGTAGCAAGTCATCATGCAAGCCCAGCTTGTGCTGAGTCCCAGAATGAGGGCTTTTCTGGAGCAGGTGGTGTCTGCAGGTTGGGAGGTGGGTGTCAGGTTGGCTGTAATGGCTCATCTGAGTCGTCATGGTGCTGCTCTCTGCGGGGCCCCTCCTCCCAAGTCTGGCTCCCGTTCTGGTGGCACGGTGGCTGTAGCAGCTTCAGGGCTCACATCCGCCCCCAGACCGTCCAGGAGACAGAGTGCCTGCATTCCGGAATTCCCATCAGAAGATGGCAGGCTGCTTCTGCACCCATCCCTCTGCCCTGGGGGGTGCCCTGCGCTGTTCATTTTGATCTGGGTAGCCCTCACTGGCTGGGACTGGTCGGGACCCGCCCCCGTGGCTGCTGTGATAGTGTGGTCCAGCAGCCCGGTGACTGGAGCTAGGCGCTCTGGCTGCCCTGGTGACTCCCGACTGCCAGGTGGTTCTGCCCTCTTCCTTCTCGAGCCTTCGCTGCCTGAGACAGAGGGCCCACTCGGTGGAGACACCCCGGGTGCGCCACCTGTGACACATGTGCTTTCTGCTTCTCAGGGTGGTGTGCGTGATCCCGCCGGTGGTGGCCGCGCCCCCGTGCTTGTGGGTGGCGAGGCCACCCTCCCGCTACAGCCACAAGATGAGGCTCTTCAGACACTACCTGCGGGAGCACACGGCGCCCTTCGCCCAGCAGCTGCAGCGGGTGACAGCTCTGCGCTCACTGCGGTTTCCCGAGCTGAGACTGGTCCAGTTTGACTCAGGTACGAGACATCCCGTCTGTACTGCCGACTGTGTCGGATTTACTTGCTTTGGATTATGAGATGCTCTTGATGTCACTCATTTCATAGGAAAGCTGGAAGCGTTGGCTATCTTACTTCAGAAGTTGAAATCTGAAGGACGTCGAGTGCTGATTTTATCGCAGATGGTTCTCATGTTAGACATTTTAGAAATGTTCTTGAACTTCCATTATCTCACCTATGTAAGAATTGACGAAAACGCCAACAGTGAGCAACGGCAGGTAGGAAAGAGATCATTTCTTTTGTTATCGTTGATGACTCATTTGGGTTAACTTTGATCGCCAGTTTCTAACCTAGTTTCTCAGAGCTGTGCAAACTCAGTGTTGTCATGCTTTCTAAACAAGGGGAAGAACTTCTTAATGTCTTTGGACTTTAGCTCCATCCTTTGATATTTTTTCGTAAGTCCTGTTATTTGGGAAATGCAGTCGGCTAGATGTCTCAGAATCAAAATTGGTGACCTGCAGTCCTTACAAGGAGGAGATGGGTGTCCTTCGGGAGGCAGCCACAAGAAAACAGGAAGTTCTGCAGACTGATCTACAGTTAAAGAATTACAGGTTAAAATAAGATGCCCGTTCTTTACCTGTCAGGTTAGCTAAGGGTAGCTTGATTCCATCAGGCACAGTGAGAGCAGCTTTCTCGTGCGCTGCTGGTGGGGCGCAAATTAGCACAGCTTTCTAGAAGGCGAACTGACAGTGTGGCTTGTGAGCCTGGAAAAGGGTATGCGCCTGACCTGCTAATTCTGCATCTAGGACTCTCTCCTTTAGCAGCACTCAAAGGTGCATATGCACAGTTGTTGATGGTGGAAATGTTTGTGATAAGCCCCAGTTGGGAGCAAAGTCCCAGTCCAGGAGTAGGAGAGTGGGTCAGTAGTGGTCTGCGTGCCACAGGGCTTGGCCCTGTCCCGAGTGTCCCACAGCGTGAACTAGGAAGCCATCTTCAATGGCGTTTCAGAACAGGTTTTAGTATCAAGGCAAAGCATTCCCGAGTGCAGGCAAGCTGCTGGCCTGTATATCGCGTTACCCACTTCACGCCGTCCAGCACAGGCAGCCCTCCCCATGCTGAGAAGGCCTGGAAGGAGGTACACCGCGGTCTTAGTAACAAGTTCTGTCCGGAGTGATGTAACAAATTATATAGAGAATTTCTTGAAGGAAGAGGGCAGGTCACACCTGCTAAGGTCTGTTTGGGCGCTGAAGTCATTGCAGGAGAGAAGTTGTGGGAATGAGGCCATTTCGCCTGGCGGCCCTGCGGGAGTGGGGAGGCCGGCGGCTGCTCCCTCGGCCTTACTCCAGGGGCTTTTGCTGTAAAGCGCCTGGCATTGCCGGAGGGTACATGAACGAGCACGCATCCCTCCCCAGGGAGACTGCTGTCCTGTGGGGCCCACTCGTGGAGCTGACAGCACAGGTCGGGTGGGGTCGGACACTTTCCTTTCTGTACCTGCCGACTGGTGATGCTTAAACAGGGTAGAGGTGTCGGCAACCAGTAAGCGAGAAGATGCCGCATATGCCCGGAAGAGCCACGATAAAATGCTAAAGTCTGGTGTAATTGGAGCACAGACCTCGCGTCAAAAGAAACACAAACCGAACAGTTTTGTTACGGAATAATTTCTAACTGATAAGTACCAGAACACGTCAGAGGTTTCCTGTTGTTTGGCAGGGGTGCTAACTCGGGGTTTCATTTCGCCTCAGGACCTGATGAGGAGTTTCAACCGGGACCGGCGGGTCTTCTGTGCCCTCCTTTCCACACACAGCCGCGCCACGGGCGTGAGCCTGGTGGAGGCGGACGCGGTGGTGTTCTACGACCACGACCTCAACCCGGTGATGGACGCCAAGGCCCAGGAGTGGTGCGACCGGATTGGGCGGCGCAAGGACGTGCACATATACAGGTGAGGCAGGCGGCTGGGCCGGGGGCTGCAGCGTACTGCAGAAGCTTCTCCCACGTTCTGTTTACTTTCCTTCAGGCAGGCTCGTGTTCTGCCGTCCTGTCTGTTCTTTCTTTATACTCAGCATCTGCCTGGGACGTAACTGAGTTTGTTTGCAGCGGGGACTGGGTCGTGCTGCTGAGACATAACTGCTGTCCTTCCGACGTGTACTTGTATTTCTCCTGGAGTCCCTGACCCTTAAGAGGGTGCTTCATGTTCTAGGTTGTTTCAAGTATTTTCAGATATAAATTATCATAACTTAACAGTTAGCAATTTGTAAATTCCCTATTGAAAGCATTTAAATCTTACAAGCGGCCAACCACACGCAGTTGAGGAAAGCAGAGAAGGCTCTGCCATTGTTTCTGAGCTCTGGGAGTGTCGGCTGGAAGAGCACAGCGGCACTCGGCCCCCGCTGGCTGCCCGTCTGGTGCCCGAGTGTGCCAGGCACATGCCGCCCCCCCTTCCCCTGTGCTCCTGCCACCTCTGGGTGGGGTCGGCACCGAGGGTGCGGTCCCTGGCGGCCAGCCTGGGACAGGGACCCTAGCCCACGCCTGTAACCCTCGCCGTTTTCATCAAGACGTCGTCATCCATGCACTGTGTTTAAGTAGCTTTAATTTTTTCCTGATTATAAATGTATTACTTGTTCATTGAAAAGAAAAAGAAAAAAAAAAAAAGGAAAGCACATGGAGAAAATAAGTATCCTGCCCAGACGGCAGTTAGTAGCATTTTGGTGTGTGTCTTTCCAGACATTTCCCTGATTTTTTTAGATGGCTCATGCCAGCAGTCAGTCTTTTTGCATAATCCTGTTTTCTTTTAACAGTATGTTGTGAGTGTATTTCTGTGTTAATAAATATAAATTTGATACATTGTTTATATAAATGGATAATGTTTCATTGTGTAATCCCTTCCTTATCATTGGCCCTTTAGCAAGTTACTCGCTAGAAACGGGGAAAACGTTTTATTCTCAGGAGACACAATCTGTAAACTCTCAGGAAGGACCTTAGCAGTAAAGGTGCTGGGTGTGTAGGATGTAGAGTGTAAGCTCGTGAACGGGCATAAGCTGAGAGATGCCACCAGCGGGAGGACGTGCTCTGTTCTTAGGCAGGAAGACTTGGTTCATAAAATTGTGAAGTTTCCCCAAAGTGATAGTAAAGTTTAACATCATTTTTTAGTGAAAGCGCTGATCACGGGTGTGGGAATGGTTACTGCAGCTTTCCGGGGGCACAAAGCAGGAGCCAGGGGACGCGCATCCTTGGGCTGCAACCACTGGACACGGGTTCATTTGGGGGCGCAGTGCAGAGAGGTGCACAGTGATGCGGGGGCGCCCGCCCGCCACCGTCAGCACTGAAGGAGACGGGGCTCGAGGGTCCGGAGGCCCCCGGGGGCCTTTCCAGGTGGAGGCCGGTGGGGTACATGGATGGCCAGCGTGGGTGGCATGCGGGCCTCTGGGGCCCGCCCTCCTGCCATGTGGGAGGCGGGACAAGCGTGGTCACCTCTGGGCACCACACGAAGGAAGGAAGCAAGCAGTGCAGGGTGCGGCTGACAATTCATGCCACGCAGGTGCTGTTCTGCTGGGTGCTCCAGGCACCATGGCACTCGTGCCGTCCTCGGCTCCTGGGGACTTAGCTGTCGCGTGTGTATTTGTAGGCTCGTGAGTGGCAATTCCATTGAAGAGAAATTGTTGAAAAATGGAACCAAAGATTTGATCCGAGAAGTGGCTGCTCAGGGAAACGACTACTCCATGGCGTTCCTCACGCAGGTACCTTCGTCCACGAGGAGGCCTGGGGCCGGGGGGCGGGGTTGCCACACAGTGACGGGAACCGGGCGGGTTTAACGGTTGAGGGCGGTGGCCATTGGCGGTCTTCCGCGCGTGTGGAGGTCTCAAGCTCAGTGGTACTCATTTTTGTGTCAGCGGACGATCCAGGAGCTGTTTGAGGTTTATCCACCCATGGATGACACTGGCTTCCCAGTGAAAGCCGAGGAGTTCGTCGTCCTTTCTCAGGAACCTTCTGTCACAGAAACCATCGCACCCAAAATTGCCAGACCTTTCATAGAGGTGAGGGTGGCCGGCGCCGGCCTGGCAGCGTCGGGTCCAGGGCTTTGGGTCTGTCCTCCGTTCCTGTGGCACTGCTGCCGCCCCCTCCCCAGGCTCCAGTCGCTCGAGCCTGACCTGTCAGCCCCTCCCTGCCTGCTTTTGGTTTGGGGGATTTTAGTTGTAAAAAGAGGTGAAAGATGCGCGAGAGAGCGGTGTGGGCCTCGCGTGCCTGCTGCCCACCCTGCCACCGTCGCCGTTTTCACGCATGCTTCTCGGGCCACCCCTCGCCGTCCTGTGTGACTTTGTGCCCCAACCCCTCGGCCCTGCTGTGTCAGCACCTCTGTCACAGCGTTGCTGGGGAGGATGCCCCGCTGTGCAGGGAGCCCCGGCGTGAGTGTGAGATACACGTCCCACTCTGAGAACAGAACCAAAAAGAATAGCAGCTGTCTCACTCAGCCTTCCTGCGTTGGTTACCCGCTGAGATGATAATGCCTTGGATTCTAACTGAAATCTTGCCATCTGCGTTTCCGTCCTGGACACTTGAGATCGCAGACTGCGTGCTTGGCTCGCGTGCTGCTGCTTTGGGGCAGTGCTGCTGTGCAGACCTGGCACACACTTGCCTGTCAGGCCCCTCGCTTCCCTCCCTGAGACCCTGCTCCCATCCTGCCTCCTGGGGGCCTTTGACTGCAGGACACCTCCTCTCCTGTGTTTGAAACTTGACTGTCCAGTGATTGAGAAGTAATAAATGCATGTGGTAAAAAACCTTCAAGAATTTATAATGAAAAGTAAGTGTCCTGCACCAGGCCCTCACTTCCCTCTCAGAGACAACCACTGGCAGCTGTCTTTCACATTTTCTTCCAGGAGTTGTCTGTGTATAATGTCACTTGCACAGAAGTACCTTACAGCTGTTCCGGTATTGGGAGGGACAGATAGATGTACTGTTTTCTTTTAAAAATCGGTGATACATGCCTCAGGTTTTAAAAAACAAAACAACAAAAAAAAGGTCAAACAGCATGACCTAAACCTCATAACAGAAATGATTGTAGAAACCTCATAACAGAAATGATAGTAGGGAAACAGTAGGTTACCTGTCCTGGAGGTGACCACTCAACCATTGTTGAAAGTCTTATGGGGTGTACCTGGTGGTGCAGTGTCCAAGAACTCTCCTGCCAGTGTCGGGGACTCGGGTTCCAGCCCTGGTCTGGGAGGATCCCATGTGCCGCGGAGCAGCTGAGCCTGTGCGCCGCAACTACTGAGCCCACGTGCCACTAAAGCCTGTGAGCCACAACTGCTGAGCCCACGTGCTGCAACTACTGAAGCCCGCGCACCTAGAGCCCGTGCTCTGCAACAAGAGGAGCCACTGCAGTGAGAAGCCTGCGCACCACAACGAAGAGTAGCCCCCGCTCGCTGCAACTAGAGAAAGCCCGTGCGCAGCAACGAAGACCCAACGCAGCCAAAAAATAAATAAATGATAAATAAATTTTAGAAGTATATATCTTACGTGGATCCTGGAAGAAACATGTGAGGCCTGAAGGCATGTGTGTTTGAGGAATGTGAGTGTGTTCCACACCCTTGCTGTTGTTTCTCAGTGCATCTCTGAGATGATGGCACAGTGTGGTGTTTCAGCACACAGATTCTTTGAAACGTTCTGGCTGAACATCTTACTGTGAGTTGGGCACTGTTGTAGGCAGAAGGGGTATAGCGTTGAAAGAACCCTCGTCCTCCACAAAGCTTCTGTTCTAGTGACAGGAGAGAAGACACACCATCACCCTGCGGAGATGGTGTGCCATGCGGTGTCCAGGAGGAGTGTTAGGGGTGGAGGGGCAGCACCTCCGGGTCCGGACAGTAGGGGTCAGGTATGGCTGGGGGACGAGGGTGATGGAGACGGGCTGCCCGCGGACATGTGGGTTAGGACCATCACCTGGCTCTATGCTGACACTGGACTGGGGGCCATTTCAGAGGTACAGGCGTGGGGAACAGTGTGGGCACATCTCTGGTTGAATTGCGGTTTGCTCTTGGCTGGTGAGCTTTGTGTTCATTGGCAGCGTGGATACTTTTTTATGAAGTGCTCGTTCGCGTCCTTTTCCTATTTTTTTTTTAAACGGGATTTTCTTTTTCTTAGTGGCTTGTTGGCTTGTTTCTGTATTTTGGATGCGAGGCTTTTGTGGGATACATGTAAAATGTCTTCTTCCAACCTGTGGTTTGCCTTTTTTAATGCTGTCTTTCAGCAAGCAGCAATTCTTGGTCCTAATGCCACCCAGCAGACCATCTTTATCACATGGTTGGTGCTTTTGCGTTCTAAGAGAGGTTCTTCTTTATTTTCTTCTATGTGTTTCAGTGTTTTGTTCTTCATACTTAGACGTACGGTCTGTCTGGAAATACTTTCTGGGCATCGTGTGAGGAAGGGTTACATTTTAAACTTTGCAGATGTTGCCCAATTGCCCTGGAAAGAGGTACCAGTTCTTAACTGACATCCTCTCAGCTGCATGGTCCCCCCAGCCCCGGCCCCGATGTGAGCATGTGTGTCTGCATTTGCCAGCCCCTGGCTGTCGGGTGTCGGGAGAGGCACATGCAGCATCTGCTAGTCTAATGGGCGTTTCTTGAACTGTGGTGACACTGACCCTTACGTGTCTGTCGCCGTCTGCAGCACGTTTTCTGGGGGCTTGGTTTCTGTCTTCACCACAGACCACGGCCTGTATCTCGTGCACCACGAAGAATTGTTCTCATGGTCAGGACCGGGGCAGGGTGGTGGGTGGCGGGTGTGAGATGCAGCCAGACGCCCCATCCTGCTCGGTTCTCTGAGTCTGGGGGCCGGGCTGTGCGTGTCAGCCTGTGTGCCTGTGGCTCTTCTCGAGGGCGTGCCCGTTTTCCCTGTGCCCGCGGCGCCGTCGTTTCAGGCGTGCGAGGGGGGCCGAGGAGAGCAGGCGTCACCATGGGAGGCTTGGTGTACAGTGTGGACACGTAGTCAGCTGTGCGGGCTGTACCCGTCAATTGAAGTGTTGAAAGCGCATCTGAGTCCCGTCCACTAAGGGCGCACTTCCCGCAGGCCCTCAGGAGCATCGAGTGTCTGGAGGAGGACGCACACGAGCCGGCAGAGGAGTTGGCGCCCGGGTCTCGGCGCCCCGACGGTTCCCGGTGGGGCGAGGAGCCCTCGCCCCTGGAGGAGTTAGCGGACTTCATGGGACAGGTTTGGCGTTTTCTGCTTTGTTTGCTTCTTGGCACCTGAATACCTTAAACGTGCGACCCTCTGGGAGGTGTTTCCTGTTCATCTTGACCAAGGACAGTCGCCGTTTTGATTCAGGTGTTGGGGGGGGGGGGG